ACATTATAATATCAAATTAATTTTTATATTAATATTACCTGATATTCATATATATGAGCTAAATTGGATTAATAGGGAACAAAAATGACTCTTTTAACAAAATAGTTGAATCCAGATAGATAAGAGGCTTAATTAAATTGCATTAAATAGCTTTATGTTAATGAATTTCATTAAATTGGCCAAAAATTGATAAAAGTTTTAGATTTTTTTACATGTTGCCTGTTTTATATATCGATCATAGGTAACTTAATTATATCAGGAATTTGGTTGAATAATTATATATGCTAATGCTTAACAGAAGAATGCTATTCTATATGAATGAAAATTTAAGATTATTGATTCAATCAGTTGTTGTTTTAATATTCGTATTTATTATATTTCATCTTCTCAGTTTATCATCTTAGAGTCTATTCATCTTTCACCTCATTCTCAGCTGCCATTATTATATAGACACAGCTAAATCTCTAGCAATAGTTACTTTAATTTTTTTGGTTTTTAGTCTTTAAGTTACTTTACACCAAAATTTTACAATCTTCCTGAATGGTGCTTGTATGACTATTTTTAAGAGTTCTTGCTTATTATTCTTATCGTTCCCAATCTTCTTTACAATAATGACATATATCTGCTAATTTGAGAGAGTCAGGGAGAAGAGAGTCAATATATAAATCAGTTCATCAATCCTTATCCATTTTTTAAACTGGTTCTCAATTGTAATAGTTTTTCCTTCCAACTTAATACCGTCAATTTATATATTATTTTACCTTAGAGCTAATTAGTTCCCCATGGCCTCTCATTATATGTGAAGTAAAAAATAAATTTTTAATCTGTTGTTTAATGTTTTTCTATAGAAGGTTAAATCCCAAAGGATTTTTCAAAGTAAAAGCATATTTCTTAGGTGATTATCAACTTGAGTTTATATGAAGTTGAGATAGTTTCAATTTATTTATCCTTGCTTTAGTTAATTCATCTTATTCAATACTTAGTTTTCACTTGAATTGGGTAATTGACAAATGAATTGTTTAGATCTTCAGCACCTATCGTTATTTTAAGGTTCAAGTAATACTTAGTTATCAAAAATTGAACAAATTGAGTAAAGTAATTGTGTGCTATTAGCCATAGTTTCATAGCTGATTCAATTTATGGAAGAGAACTCTATAAAAGTGTTACCTGGTTTTCAGGGTCAAGGCATCTTGTAAGCTCTGTAATTATATATATATTTTGGGACACGTTATGCCTATATGCTAGAAAGCTCACTTTATTTTCAAAGAATTTTGAAGAATTAGATCCTATTGAATAAGCTTTAGATTCAATTACTTTTTTCTCTTCTTTTATCTGATTGGCCAACAAGGCTACTATTGTTAGAAAATCTTTCAATTCTTTTTACTGCCCTAAGAATATTTAATTAAAAAGATAAATTATTAAATAAGAATTAGTTTTTCTCAGAATAAAAGTTGACCAGAAAATAATATATTCAAATCTTAAAAAATAGATTTCAGTATTGAGTTTGACCATCATAAATGATTCGAGCTCTGATAGGAATTTCTGAAACTAATTCATTGTTGAAAGAGAGATTATTTAATTATCGCTATAAGAAAATTTATTGATAAATACTATGAAGAATACTATTTTATCCTATCCTCTTAAGGTTCCACTTGTTATCTAAAATTGAAGATGATCGATATACTCCTTAACCAACCATTGACTAAGGTTAAAATATTTTATCGTAATTCCTCAAAGTCTTAAAGATGCTTAACAAAGTTTAACTCGAGAAATGGCTAAATTTCGTTTATTTTATTAAGAAAGTTTCCATGATCCTTGTGAATTAAAATATTTTTGATTCTTCGAAAGAAATATATGGTAATTATTAATTATTACTATATGAAATGATTGATAGCATAAGAGAATAATTTCAATTTCTCAAAAAGAATTTTATTGATGAAATCGATGTTGATTGATTAAGTATAAAAGGATAAAAGTTTTATATTTTTTGTATTTTAATAAAATTATAATCTCAGTTCCTTAATTTTGATCCTGGAGTCTCATAATCTATGAAGATTAAAATCACATAAAGTTTATTATAAACATTGAAATATTGTTCTCAGACTTGAGCATTTGATAAAGATTAGAAGGCTTTATAATCAAAAAAAAGATTTTACATTTCTTATCTATCTAGATAGATTTATTTCTGATTATCTGGCTGAACTCTTAAATGTAATAAAGTAATTTAGTTTAATCTCAAATCTATTTCAAATCCTTACAATTCTAATGACAATATAA